CCTTGTAATGGTCTTTCTTGGAGAGAGTTTAAATTATCGGAGAGACTTTCTCATAAGTTCATAGACTCATTTTCAAAAGTGAATCTGATGAACTATGAAATATAACTTAGACATTCAAGTGATAAGTCAGTTGTCTTATCACTTTTGTTTGAAAGCCTCTGAACATCAGTAAAAAGTCCGTGATGAACAAACAGAAACTTCTGATCTAATAATGTTCAAACTATAACCAAGTTTAAGATTCATTTCTGTAACTAAGTATTGCGTCTGACGCTTGTATGAATAAAATATTCTTACAAGTAATATAGTCCTCTATTGAGCTTTCACATAGTTCATCTAAAGGTTATAACACTGCAATGTCTTCGAGTTGTTCTCTTGATAAATATGGTAAACAGTGTTCTGAAATACGTTTGGATAGTGTTCAGTTTGCGTGGCCAGTATAACTGTTTCCGCTGGTGCATATGAATGTATAGACACATTGAAATGGCTCAAAGCGAAAGTTTCTCCTTCACATATCTGCTGATTATTTCCTGACTGAAATATTTTTTCCAATGACCACGATGGTTCTTTAGAATCTCGGTCATAGTATGACGTTTGAATTCAACCTCTAAAAAACAACAATTTCATCGAAGTTACGGGAATTATTTCTGCCGATATTTTTATCGATGAAACTTTTGGTACATTCAGTTGCAGTGATGAGGTATCTGAATATCACTAGTGTAGATCTATCTATTATTATTGTTGTTCCCTTTAATTCGTAAAGGAATATAGGGCCTCATCCACACATCTCGATTCAGTTCTCTGATTCGGTTCGCTGTCAATGTTTTCACTTGGCTCCACGTCTGCCCACATGATTCATCGCCTCTTCACACCTCTTCCTTCATTTCAACCTCTCACTGAAAACCAACTCGCCGCCTGCTATTCAGTCGAGAGATGGCCTGGCATGTGATGTCACTTGGTAATTTGCTGTCTCAGAGTATGGCCAATTCACCTAACTCCATTTTTTCCTGCATATTTCTTGCAAAATCGGTTCCTGCTGGATTGGTTCACTGTCAGAGATCCCTAACTGTTGCTGATCTTTTCTGGCCATCTGTTCATGATTAGCATTGAGCGAAGACAGCTGTTGATAAAGGTCTGTGGTTTGTTCGAAGTGCCCTTCGAGACGTGGTGCCAAGTCTGTGATCCGTATAGTAGCACTGACTGACTTCACAATGTAATGGAAATCTAGATCTTATTTTTCATTCTGAGCGCTGCCAGTCTCCACACAAACTTGAGACTAATGAAAACTTTTCTTACTTTCCCAATCTTCGCTTTGATATCCTCATCAGTTCCATCCGACTTCAGTTGAAACGATGCTTTCCAGTTAGGTAGGTGATAAAGGAGGTTGCTTTTTTCTTATTTCTCCCGTTTATGCTGGCTGACTGTTGCCTGTTGTCGTTGTTGCTGTGGCTGTTGGCCAAAAATCTTCATCACTTGCCTCTGTTTTCTCTATGTTCACCTGAAGGAAGTCTTATCTTCTCCTTTTCTGCCAATCTGTTGATTTCAATTGCATATCTTCCAGTTTTAGGGAAATCAGACATATATCATCAGCGAAGTCCAGATCCTCCAAGTTTTTTGTTTGGGTCCATTTTATGCCTGTCTCCTCGTTTCCCAGGGCCTTCGTTGCTGTTGATGACATCATTATAGCCACACCATTGGTGTGTTGTGGTTGTCTTCTGGGTGACCGAAGTAGATAATCGACTCACCCGTTGACAATTTGATGAGTCCACTCCCATTCCATCTGTTCTCGCATATTCGCAGTACTTGAATTCCGTATCTTTCTATCATGTTTGCAATCTGGGCAGCTTTGCCAGTCTCGTACATGGTGCGGACGTTCCATGTCCCAACACAGAGTTTTCCTTCGATCGCAAGGGGACTCATCGTACTGAAGTTTCTGTAGCAGATTTGTTTACGGAGTGAGGTTACGAGCCTCACGCCTGAGAAGGGGGTTATAAATGATTATGTATAGTTTATAGAGGGGCGACATTTGGGTCGCTCTCCTCAGAGTCAAGAAAACAAGGAATAAAGCGATCGTAAAAACAGCAGCAAAGGGAAAACAAAAATATTTTTACGGGAAGAGCAGCGACAACAACTGTCAAATACAGTTAACAAAATGATATAAGAATAAAACCTGTGCAGTTTGGTAGAGTATAATTCTATAATGGGTAAATTTTGTTTTGATAAAGTCTCACAGTGTTATACAGTAATGTTTAACTGATGACGTTTCGAGCGCAATTTATTGCTCATAATCATATCAAGGTACTCATCACACGACTTCCTAACTTCATTTATATAGTTCCATGATTTTTCACTTTATTTTCACTTGATTTGATTGGTAATAGTATTTTCCATATTTCAGGTATGAGTGACGAGTCATTCCTATTGCACGTGTGTGTTTGGTGTAGACTTAATGAACAAGGATTCAGTAATCAACCTCTCTCTCCAACTACCTAGATTACTTTTTAGAATTTTAGCCCTCTCCCACCATGCTATTGTGTGGTTGTGTGTTAGCGCATGCATTGCAGTTGCTGAGCTTTTTTCTAAATTACTTATCTTCTCGGGGTCAACCATTCCTACCTTAGCTAAACTCCTATGCTCTGACAATCTGACTACCCCTGATATAATAGTTTGACCTGATCTATGTAGTTGACCTAACTCACAGTCATTGCAGAGTATTTTGTAAATTATATTATTTTGTCTAATTGGGTCAACTGAGAGGTCCTTTAACCTACAGAGCTTGTCCCTGAGTGAGTTTGTAGGTTTAAATGCCACCCTAATTCCTGCTTTGTGTAGAATCCTACGTAGGGTCTCAGATGTCCCCTCTTTATATGGTATAACTGTAGATGACTTATATTCTCTCTTATTTATGTTATTATTACTAGTTTCACAATTATTTTTATTTTTCGTTTAGCCTTTCTCGATCTTCCTGATGAATGTTAAAGGACAGTTATTTAACACCAAAGCCAGGGTAGTCAGATTTTCAAAATATAAGAATTCAGCTAAGGTAAGAATGGTTGACCCTGAAAGATAAGTAATTTAGAAAAAAGCTGAGCAATTGCAATTCATGCACTAACATTGCACAACCACACAATAGGGTGGATGGGAGACAGTTAAAATTGTAAAAAGTAATCTAGGTAGGTGGAGACAGAGAGAGGTTGATTACTGAATCCTCGGTTCATCGAGTTTACACCCAACACATGCAATAGGAATGATTCATCACTCATACCTGAAATATGGAAAATACTACTACCAATCAAATCAAGTGAAAATCAAGTGAAAAATAATAGAACTATCTAAATGAAGTTAGGAATAATAAATTGTGCTCGAAACGGGGTCATCAGTAAACATCACTGTATAACACTGTGAGACTTCATCAGAACAAAATTTACCCATAATGGAATAACAAAAATGATATCAAAACCATGGACAGACTTACTTGGGTCAACTTAGGAAAGTAAATCCAACAATATACACAATTATAGATATCAGTCAACAGATATTAGTCAACGTTAGACGGTCACAAAATACCAGACATTTAGTTAGAGGTATTATAACTCAACAAGATTATATCCACAAGTTCAGCGTTCGAAGTTAAAATAACTACAATAAATTCCACAACTTCTTGGCTAGCAACACCAGAGAAAGAGTTTCATGTAACTGAACAAACGTAGCATACTAATCGAAAAGCACATCAACTTCCCTCTATTAGGAGTTAATCAGGTTTCTGTTTCTTTTGAAAAGGGATCTAACTCCGAAAACTCGTATACAGAACTTTTCATGTCGGCTTCCTGTAGTCTGACCCTTGAGATGAATTATCAGGTCTCCTTTCCGACTAGCGAGTTCCACCAGGTTTGGCAAGAGGAAAGTCGCTTGCCTGTGACACCAGCTGGCGGTTATGCTATATATATATATATATATATCATGAATTGGAAGAAGTTGGAATTAAAGGACCATTGAGTCGGGATTCAGTGTCTGGATGATGATCCACAACCTCGCTACCTGGTAGCCGAAAGGTCATCAGTTCGAAGCCAAGGGAGTGAGTACTGCTGAAGAGTCCCAGTTGCTAGGGAGAAGCGGTTGTCCAGTACCCACCAGTGGTTTTCCAGTGGTTCTCTAACTGATGTCATCACAGGACTTATTCTGTAACCAGTCATATCCTTGTGAACCTACACTTGAAAAACTAGTTTAACGGCGAAAAATCCATACGTTTTATTACTGTATCGATGATGCAGTAGCCTGATTAGGAAGCCTTGTCAATCAGTCAATCATTCACGTCATGTAACCATTCCTAGTAGTATCAAACATTGAACCAAATGGAATCCGACGGGACCATAGGTATGACATAATTTCAAACCGCTACAGGCAGTATCCCGAGATGATATCAATTCGCAGATAGTTGACTTTCAAATCTTCAGAATGTATACTCCTGAATCGTAGAATATAAATATAACACGCAAACCTCTTTGAGAGACTGAGATAATTAAACTTAAAGACTTGTTCCATATCTTCAGTTCTAGAAAGCTAAATTTCGAAAGGGTCTGTAGAACTGCTCAGAATGAAAGAATGTAATTAGAAGAATTATTAACTGAAGCAACATTATGGTGACTTCTACAGAAGAAGTGGATCTTTTAATCTAGTAACTTTCTGAACTATACTTTAATGGCTCTGGGTGCCGGGTACTCCATCATTCATTGGACTATATCCATGAACTGACAAATCTCAATTAGAATGACTGGGAAAAATGACTCTCGATTATGAATTAAAAGACAATCTTAGAGTAACGAAAACTCATTGTTGTATAATTTTTAGTATTCTGACGAAATTCCTGCAGACACTTAGTAAAACAAATGTCAAAAGCAAGCAGATGACTTATATTGTTGTAAACTAGTCATGAAATTTAAAATTATTGATTAACTTCAAAGTTATGAAATGAAAAAGTAATTTTCACTCCTCATTTTACTCACCCCAGACAAGAGTTAGGTAATCATTTGTCTTTCCTGGTTTGCCTAAAAGAAATTCAAAAAAAGAAGACTTGTTTAGAAAACAGATGAAGTGAAATGTTTTTTTCAAGAGGAAACATATTTTCAATGTATATCGTTCAAAATTCACTCATCTTTTCATGAATTTAATAACTATTCCCATCTTTAAAGAAGAGGCTAGTGAAACTATCTAACTGGTTATACCTGGTAAATGAAACAACTCATAACCAAAAATTATTGAATTGAATTTTTGATTTTCCCGTTGATTGATTGGACCGAAGTGCTTGGTCTCAGGTTGACATGTCGGCTTTTGTGCAGATGCTTCGACGATGTCCGGGCATTTAATTAGTATACAATTGGTGGATGGTGGCTAGCAGTGGAATCCAGGATGCGCATTTCGTCCTAATTGGGACTCGTCAGCTGGATGTACCTGCATTTCTCAGTGAGTGATGATGTTCCCACCGAGGCTCGAACCCAGTACCCATAGTTTCAAACGCCAAAGCGTCATCCACTAGACCACTTGAAAATCAACTCCGTATACTCATAAACTGAACTTTTATAGTGTTATCTGTTTGAGTTAACTTGTAATGACTTGGAATGATGGGTCCTAAATTCGAGTCTCAGAGGGCATGTGAAAGTATCTGTAGGGGTGGGACATTATAACTCACTTGGGTATGTAGGTGTAGGTGCACTCAAATGATATGTCGAGAATAGAATGAAACATGCATCCTGGTTCCCAATGTTCACCTCCACCAGCCAAATAGCCTTAATACGATGCATGTGTGATGAATTCTTCGAATCCAGAAATACTCTAGATAACATTATATTTTCTTGTTAGATGACTGGAAGAGATCAGCGGGAAGCCCTTGACGCAGGTCTAACGCTTTCTGGCACTCACCAGTCATCAAGACTTATCTGCAATGTTGAAGGAACTCATTTTCCTCCCAAGGTTTGAACATGTGTCAGAGATGTTACCAGTGAGCTATTCGAACTCGCGATTGACCCCTGAAGGACGGTAATGAATAAGAAATCTAGTAATTCTGGTTACACTAAAAGATAGCCCCATCTACTTCCAGTCCTATGTAGCCTGATGTTGTTCACCATTGAGTTTCTTTGTTTTGTATGCCGTATGACCGAGGATTATGCTTACTTGGAGAGTTCAGACTGACAAGCATTTACTTTCTTGGTCAATTTTAGTTTTTTCGACTTACATTCAAATAATCCTCGAGGACAAATGAAAGTAGACAGTAACGAACATATCTTTCAACTTAAATCCATATGGATCCATTGAAAATTGTGTCTTGTTTGATTGACAGGCATTGTAAGATTCATATGAATACTGCTCACTTACAAGTTTCATCATAGCTGCACGGTGTTATGATGTGGAACTAACAAGACGACCAATTGGAAACTTAAGAATGTCACTCCATAGAAAACCCACTCGGAACGGTCAACCCTCAACAAGTTTCTACAGTCGAGTATCTGTTGAACGAAAACGAAATTTAATTCAATCCACTGACATATGGATCCAACACGGCATCTGCAGTCTTGACGCCATAGAAGCATAACTGCATCTTCTGAAAGAAACCTTCATCCAAAATAGATAACCACCAAGATTCATGGACAAGAATATCAAACCAAAGGTCCAGAGGAACGAAACTCCACTTGTTCCAAAAATTACACTTTTGGTGAACCTGAATTTCAAAACAGACTAAACCTTCAATATCCTTAGGAGAAGAATTTCGGCACACTAAAAGTAATGTTCTCCATTCATCCATTGGTACGCAGAAGGCCTAAAGACAATATCTCTCATCTGACCACTTCTATGTATACATATATCAGTTCACCTCATGCTGTGGAGTCGGATGCATTGGTCGCTCGACGCGAATACTGTCCAAAAGCGTTCAACACTATCCCACTGTATGACTGCAGAAACGTGGTAGTGGCTCTATAAGGAGTGCAATAATCGAAAACCTTGTCAACACTGACCACTCCATCTCAACAAATGCCTCCTCCATCAAAGTAATCTAAAAAATAAAAAATAACCTACCAAATGCAATGAGCATTCGGTCTCCTGACTGCATCGCCGAAGCCTTAGCCATTCAGTTAGAAAAGCCAGAGTTATGTATACAAAAGAAAAGCATTCAACTAATTCTACTACCATGAGACTCTTTGACAGTACGCACCCATCGTCAGGACTACAAACCCAGGACCTCCTGGTTACAAGGTAAGCTCGTAGAACATTCAACTACTGGGAACCAATTCAGTGATCCATGAATTCTAACTTCTACCAATTCGTGATCATTTTAGCTCGACCATCAACCAATGTCATTGGGGGGGGGGACTCCATTCTCACTTCCAACAGGATGGAATCTACTGGTCACGATTTCCCACTAGAACTCCAAACAACTTCGTCTTTTTGACAGTCAGTCACTAAACAGCATGAGATTAATTTTCAAGAATTAATTTACAGGGATTGTATTTGTTTCAGGTGCTCCCTGGTTTTCAATGGTTCTTTAACTGATATCCGTCATGAGTCATTGGATCTGGTCTCACTGGTTGAATGGTTTATGAGTTCACCTTGTAACAGGAAGGTTCTTGCTTTTAACTCTGGAGAGTGCGTGCAGACAAAAAGAGGCTCAAACAAAGACGAAACAGTTCTCCAGTAATCAAATAAATTCATGCTAACCAATACTCGACAAAATACGCTATACATTAATATTTATTATATTTTGTTGTGACAGTGTAGTTTCACACCCTTAAGTTAGTCCATACTCCATCAGACTAATTTTTGATCACTGTTTCACTAAATTATTCAACTCCTAGGCAGGTACGTTGTTTATTTTCAATTGCCATTTAATTTACAACATTCGTTCCAAATTCTAAGATATTCTTGTAAATAAGAAACTATATATTACTGAATAATAATAATAATAATAACAGCTTTATTCCAAACAGTATTTGTGGTACAGGTATGGAATTTTCAGCGTGCATTACAGTATATTGCATCTAATTACCTCATAAATTATATAAGATTTTTAAAAATCAAAGATAAATAAATAAAAATAAAATAAATTAGTTATAAATAAATAAAATAAATAAATATTAAAATTTAAGAAAAAAAAACAACGTAGAGTATTTCATTTCAAACAATGCAACACAGGATTTGAAATATAAAGTTGATGTGTGGTACTAGATGAGAACAACAGTGTGATAGTAACGAGGAAAGGAAAACAAAAACTAATGGGACTATTTGTTAGAGTGCCGCAGTAAGTTTATCGTGTCATACCTAACGGATTTCTCATCACATAACAGCTGTGCCAGATATGGTATTGTGGAGTTTTTGTATTTGGTAGTCCTAGCATATAGCCTCCTGTAGCTGCTTCTAGTTCTTCCAGATGAAATGCAAGGAGATAGATGCGTATAGAGAGGATGCTTGGGGTCCGACAATATTGTATTCGCTAGTTTCTTACATGACATAATATGTCTATCTACAATAGTGTTCACCAGTTGGTTTAACGATATCCCACTTGCCCTACTAACAGCTTTTAGTGCCCTTCTCAGCGAAGCAAAGTCTTTCTTAAGTAGTCCAGGAAAGACTAATGGGGAGCAGTAAAGGAGGATGGGTAGAATACAAGAATTTACAAACTGAGAAAGTAAAGACTGGTTTATGCCAGACTGCCTAAATTTCCTAATGTAGAACGTTAAGCGAAACATCTTTCTAGTAACTAGCAAGATGTGGGAAGACCAGGAAAGATCGGTGGAAAAACTCAGCCCAAGGTACTTAACATAAGATGTATTTTCAACCTCTGTGTCGTCAATGAGAGTGGGGCCATGTGAGCTAACTAGTTGCTGTAGGTCACATTTACGTCTGAAAGTGAAATTGACTACCTGACATTTAGACGGATTAAGCTTAAGTCCGTTTGAAGAGGACCACTGACTAATTTCCGACAGAAAGCTATTTAATTTGGAACAATCTGACTGAGAGTTGACAGGCATAGAAACCGAGAGGTCATCGGCATATTTAACAAAAGTGGCTACATCAGAATGAGGCAAGTCATGTAAGAAAAACGAGAACAGAAAGGGAGAAAGAACAGCACCTTGAGGAACACCAGCTAAAGTAAGTGAGGTAGTGGAGGATTTTCCATTGTAGACGGTGTACTGCTTCCTTTCAGAAAAATAGGAATGCAACCACTTATTTGTCCAGCTTTCAGCCTGTGTTGCAGCAAGCTTACTTAGCAAGAGAGACCTGGGAACAGAGTCAAATGCAGATGTGTAATCAAGGAAGGCACAGCGAACATATTTAGCTCCTTTATCTAAACTAGAGACCATGCTAATTCACATAAGTAGTTGTATACCACTCGTATCAACCACTAGTGTATACTAGCCAACCAAATCAAGGTGATCTAGACACCAGACGGTTGTTTGAACTGATTCGGCTCTTCAAACTGAGTAAAACTGTCTACATCATTGATCAGGTCGTTACCATACGAGTGGAACAGCCGTCCGGTGGTTAGATTACCTCGTTGTGGCTAGCTAGCTAGCTAGCCAACTCTGCTGTTTGATATGAGTTTTATATGCAACTACTCATATTGGTTAGTTAGTAGTACAGAGTTTTATGCAAGTATTTTTACTCTCTTGATTACCAGTTATATTATCAAGCAGATCACACATTACAATATTAAATGGTTTTGGTTTCTGAAAGAAACTATGGTGAAAATTTCACCCCTGGAATTGTGTACACTGCAAGTTGTAAAGTCTTATGAATATATTTCTATACGCATACCAATATACTTCTTGCTTAGCAACTAAAACAACTTCATTCCTCTGCATTATGCTATTTAATCATCACGTGGTATTAATGTCCTTCACCCTCACCAATAATAATAATAACTGAAATATTTGAACATTTTAGCATAGTGATATTAAAAACTGTTATTTGTTTCCAGCTCAGTTTGTTGTTCTTAGTTTTTTTTTCAAGCTCATTAGAGGAAGGGAAGTGTGGGAAATATTTTTCCATGACTTCT